TGAGGAAGAACAGACCTTGATAACTACAAGGGAAGGATTTGAGCTTATTCAAAAGCTGGAGGCATTTTGTGTTTCACAAGGTGACCAGGGTGGATTAGTACCACAGCTGAGGAAGTTGAGAGGGGCATTATTCAAGGAGATGCATGGAAAGCTGACCCAAAAGCCACTGACAGCATTTTGGGGAAATGACGACGTTGTCACATAAAGTCACATGTCACATCACGTGCTATTTTGGTTCTGCATAAATCTATAAATGCATACAGTTTTGGTGTCTCCCGACCATATGCATTGTGAGATAGTCAACTGTACCTACTAAACTCTTTGACTACCTGGTGCAAATACCACTGCTACTCTGGTGGACCTATTCTACCATCCCCACCAATTCATCCCCCTCCCTCATATCCTCATCACCTACCTCATCATCCTTATCATCCTTCTATATCAACAACAGCAGAACAGCAGAACAGACTCTGGTAGAAGCAGTGCAGAGGATTTGTGATTGTTTGGTAGTAGCCTAACAATATCACCCAACTGCAACATCCTTGGAATCCAGGTACCTCTCATCCTCATACTTATCAACCAGCATACACACACTCTGGCTCGTGCATCCACTGATGACACCTCCACCAACACATTCTCTAGGATCATCCTGCCGAATGTCTTCCACATGGTATGCAATTGTTTCGTAACTGTGAGGCTGCTGTAAACTTTCTTCATGGTGGTGGTGTCAACTTAAAATCAGTCTCGGGTTCAAATAGGATCATTGCTCTGTAAGGTGAAAGCGGTCAGGGAGAGGCTGGCTGGTGAACACAGTAAGTTGGTAGAGGCACATAATGATTCAACAAAGGTGAAAGGAGAGGGAAAGGAGAGACACACAACTACTAGTATATGGGAACCGACATTCGTCTTAACAAGTCTTTTCCTAATGAGGGGAATTTTGAAGTTTTTCATGTTCACGAGAAGATGAGACAGAGAGAGAGATATTAGGGACTGAAACATCATATAATAAAGTAAACGTATCTCCATCATGTAATATCGTCTGATGGGTATTTGGTGAACATGAGTCGGTACCTTAGCATCCGTTAGTACAGAGGAAGAGCGTATCAGATTGTATTGCTCACATTGGCACGTCGCCGAGATCCAAGTCGCGTATGAATTGGAGTCTTCCGGTGTGATCCTGTCACTTGTTCGGCCATCAGTGGTACGTCTTTTTGGTAGAAGGCTCTGTGACCTCTCTCGTAGTCGTCTTCGCAATTCTTTTCAGGTGCCGAAGGAATCAAGAGGCATTGAGATAATGACGCTGAGTGCGCAAGTCGATCAGAAGGATAACGAAATCGTTGACGATCATACTCACATCTCGCTGAGTTCGTTGGAGGGGGGAAGTAGGTTATGGGATTGTCATGGCAGGTAATTTTCATTCTTCCTGTCGATTTTGATGTGAAAAGCCATGAGACGGGACGGTGAAGGGATCCAGGGAAGAAGGAAAGAGGACCCTTGTCCATGTATGTACGCATGAAGATTTGAATTACTATTCCCAAGAGACTTCTGGCAGGAATGAAGGCCCTTGGGTGCGAATACGCGTTTTTTTATGACTATTTTGGCCTTCCATTCGCACTATGGGCCTAGGTGGAAATGAATACAACTTCACGAAGAATTTGCGCGAGCAATGTACCTTCGGCTTCAAGGCAGGAATTGGTGCTATATCGAGGACCATCTTTGTGTCGCAGAGAACCCTAGACTATCGTGCCCCGTGCAGATGTAGTTGAAGGGACCTTATACCACGTATTTTCAGACGATTTTCTCGATTTTTATATGTTACAATAAGTACCTAGTTCGTGTCTTCGCACACGGCTAGCTACACCTTTGTGCTCTTTCAACAAATTGCAGGGAGTGAAAGATTGAGAGGACGCACACTTAGAACAACACCCTCGGTGCAGTGCGTCCAGCAAACATCCAACGGTGAAAGAAAGGTAGACCTCCAAGATTCAGGGTCAAGGCTCACGCAATGCCCTAAGCCCTAGTAGTACGGATAATCAGTCGCCGGAAAGACGCAAAGACGCGAATCGATCGATTTCGGCCGGCCCTAGACGGAGCACGTGATAGCGTGCCTTTTTTGAATGACAAAATTTTCCTTTGACCTCCTTCCACCATCATCGTCCTCCTTCACGACCCTCATATTTTCCTTATCCCGTACTAAAAGATGTCGATGCCTACCCTATGGACAGTTCCCATGCAAGGAAAAGGCAAACCGGTACGTGCAGCGTGACTCTGATTCATATCGATAACTAAGATGTCCTGCAGATCCGGGCTGCAGCCGTTATTGGAGGAGTTCCCTTCAAGCTCCCGGATGCTTACACGCACTTTGAAGACAATCTGAAGCCTCCATTCTTGGGCAAATTCCCTCACGGAAAGATCCCAGCATGGGAGGATGGCGATTTCTTGCTCTTTGAGTGGTATGCGATCGCTCGATATGGTGAGTAATTTCGACATTTTGTGATTCGTTTTCGTTTTCCTAGGATGAGATTCATTCATTCAGTTATCCCTGTCTTAACACCCGTGCCGACAGCATTTCCAACTCTCTGATCTCTTTGGTCTTCTCTGTTTCGATGGATACTGATATCTTCGGTTCCTAGTCGCCTCAAAAGCTCCCAACTCCAACTTGCTCGGCTCGACTCCAGAAGAAGCTGCACAAGTTGACCAATGGATCCATCTTGCAGAGAGCGAAGTCGACATCTACACCGTTCTCACCAACCACGTTTGCAACGGCAAAATCGCCGGCTACTCCAAACCTGCCCACACCTACTTTCTCGAGAAACAGCTCCGCGCTCTCAAGACTCTCGATGTGCACCTTGCCAAGCACACCTTCTTCGTAGGCGAGCGCATCACTCTCGCTGACCTCGGCGTCGCTGCCTTCATCCAATACGGCGTCGGCATCAGCATTGACGCCTCTGTTCGTGCTCAGGTCCCCCACCTCATCCGCCACCTCGAGACCATCGTCAACCAACCCCAGCTGAAGGAGATCTACGGCCCCATCAACTACACCGAAAAGGGTGTGCAGTTCGTCCCACCGAAGAAGGAGAAGGCCCCCGCTCCCCCCAAGGAGAAGAAGGCTGAGGAGAAGAAGCCCAAGAAGAAGGAAGTCGAGGATGACGATGGCGAGGAGCCAGACGTCCCTCCCGAGCCCAAGGTCAAGAACCCCCTCGACGACCTCCCCAAGTCGGCATTCAACCTAGAGGACTGGAAACGGGCGTACTCCAACAAGGACACCCGTGGAGCTGATGGATCCCTTGAATGGTTCTACCAAAAGTGAGTAGCCTATCTATTCCCCTTCACCGCGTAGCTTATGGTTTTCTTCAGCTTCGACGCCGAAGGCTTCTCCATCTACCGTGTCGACTTCAAGTACAACGATGAGCTCACCCAGACTTTCATGTCTTCCAACCAGATCGGTGGATTCTTCAACCGTCTAGAGGCCTCGCGGAAATACCTTTTTGGCTCCGTCGGTGTTCTGGGGCAGACCAACGACAGTGTGATCAGTGGTGTGCTCATTCTCCGTGGACAGGATGCTATTCCTGTCGTGAATGTCGCTCCTGATTTTGAGAGTTACAAGTACGAGAAGATTGACCTCAAGGACGAGAAGCAGAAGGCGTTCTTTGAGGGTGCTCTCGCTTGGGATCTGGAGCTCGACGGCAAGAAGTGGGTTGATGGCAAGAACGTATGTCGTTTCCTTCCACCTCGTCTTCACTCGTATACTGACATTACTGTCCGCAGTTCAAGTAATTTGATAGTTACCTCGTTGACTGTATTCATGTCGTTTGCTGATTTGTTACCGATTGGGGGTGTTGTTCGATAGAGAATGGAAAAAGGCTGTAATATACATGAGTGCTGACTGATGTCAGCTAGGTTCGAACCAGTCTCTGGCAATGTTTTGCGCCAGCAAAAAGTAGCAGTGCAATATCTTCGTAAGCGAATGGGGGCGACGTTCTTCCGAATAGATTACTCCTTCGGATCGCGCTTACGAACAAGGAACCTCTATCCTTCATCCCTGGATCCTTTCACCGTTCCGTCTGATTCTCCTTTATAACAAACTCGGAAGTCAACGACAGAAAGTGGACATTACCTGCAATCACTGACTCGTGCCTAACCTACTCCCCCTCCACCGCACTAATCGAGATGTGAGTATCATCGTCGACAACTTCACCTGTTATTCTTGCATGGTCAGCACCATTCCCCTGGCACCTGAAAAGAAATGTGAAAACGACTACAAGAGAGGACATATACCTCCAGAGCCTCGTACGTGGAAGACGCGCCGCCGATGGTCGAACCAGAAGGGAGTCGCGCCGGAAGACACCAATCCACTCGACATACGATCAGACCATCCAGACAACCAAGAGAGGGAAATGTCATGGACTTTGCTCAGGGAAAAAAATAAAATAAAATGAATACTGGTCCATTATTATGTAGAAAAGTTCGACCTTTGTGGAGTTTCTCAATATTTATTTATGTAAGCAAAAACCTTGCCGTACCAGAACATTTCCGACTGGGAGTCGAACCCAGCTTTAACGAGATCAGGTGTACCTACCAATATCCTATTGGAGGTTCAGGAATTCCCAGTTGTGGAAACAGAGGAACAGAAAGGTCGATTCCTAACGCGTTGTCTGTCACTCTCTTTCACCCTTTGTCGAATCATCATCAGCCTATGCAGCTGGAATATTCATCGGGGATTTGTATGCATTTATCTGATATTTCAGCTCGTAGGGATGTGTTGGGTAAGGTAATGAGGAAACGCGTAGTGCGAATGGAAGGAGAAAATAGCCACAAAAAAAGCGTATTCGTACCAGCGCTCCTTATCGCCCGTCGACCGAACTGAACGAGATGTGAGTATCACCATCGACGATTTCACCTATCACTCTGACCATCTTGTATACTCAGCGTCATTCTCCAAACTCAGTGGATTCTTCGACTGTCTAGAGGCCTTGCAGAAATACCTCTTTGGCTCCGTCAGTGTTCTGGGCCAGACCAACCACAGCGTGATCAGCGGTGTGTTAGTGCTCCGTGGACAGGATGTCATTCCCGTCGTGAACGTCACTTCTGATTTTGAGAGCTGCAAGTACGATAAGATTGACCTCAAAGACGAGAAGCAGCAGGCGTTCTCGCTTGAGATTTGGACCTCGACGGCAAGAAGTGGGTTGATGGCAAGAACGTACGTCGTTTTCTTCCACCTCGTCGTCTCTCGTATCCTGATATCACTGTCCGCAGTTCAAGTAAGTTGATAGCTACCACCTTTGCGAGTGTTGTTTGATAGAGAATGAAAAAAGGCTCTAACATACTTGTGAATGCCGACTGCTGTCGGCCGCACTCGAACCTGTGCGCGGCGTTGTTTTACCGCAGCGCTTGACACCAAAAGCTCAAGGGCAACTCTATCGTAAGCAAATATTGGACGGAGACGTCTTCCGAACAGATTACTCAAAGGTGTCGCAGGCGGGATTCCGGCCCTTGTAGCTGTGACTGGAAAGTGATGAATAAGGCAAACTAAATGCTGACCATTTCCAGATTTGGGAAGGCGGATGACAAGAAGGGGCGCCACTTGGGAGCGTCTGTTCTTACATGAAAACCTTCGCCTGGTGGGTAGCAACATGCCGTCAATATAGGATGAGGTTTGAGTAATTGTGCAAGTTGCCGGTCAGACTCGTGTGCCAGCCCGGCTAAAGCTATCCTGAAGGGTATTTATATCTCTGACATGTATGTCAGGTACCGAGAAAGTAAAAATACCATGTTGCCATCATGATCGGGTCACAGGAGATGAGCAAACCTGACACTCGCCTCCTTGTCCTGCATAAAGACAGTTCTCCCTTTCTAGCTAAATATATATACGCTGGTTCCGTATAATGGCCTTTGCTTAGGCGTCAATCCATCGATGCCACGAAAACCTTTCCGAGCTATTTCTAGGCTTCGTCCGATCTATCTGTGAATAAATCATTTATCCACTGCGCAAGTGCCTGACTGAAGCTGCGCGTCGACGTATTCAATCCATGACGCGAGGATATCCCAGCTCCATGCATAGGCCGTTGAGCACGCTCGACCTTTCTCGTGTGATCAGGCTATTGTTGTAGTCCCCCCGGAAACATTTACAGAGAAGAGTGCCAAACTCCAGATACGTCCGGGGCGAAACCGCAGCTCGTTGATGGACCCAGGACTGCGGATACGTATGGTCGGGATGACAATGAAAGCCCGGTTCCTCAATCCTCATCAACTCAATCTCTTACTACTTTTTTACCCCCGGCTCCAACGTTAAACGATGTTAAGCACCTTCCCGCTATTCCTTCTTTGCTTGTCACTCGTTAACATCAAAGGAGGTCTGTTTCCTTGCCTTGCCTTGCAAGCGGAGATACTAATGACGGTCCACGCTGCAGTCCTCGGCCAGGAATTGATATCCTGGCTCCCTCTCGTCCATCGAAGCACCAACACTTCTGCTGTCAACATCTCGTACATTCCCGATGCCTGCACGTCTAATTGCGAGATCCTTATATCCATCGTTGTGAGTCGCGCATTATCGTCATTCCTAGTCATCATGCGGTACTGACGAGTCTTTATATAGGCCTGCGGAAGCAGCATGAGCTCCTGCCTATGCTCGACCAACTACAACGCGAGCGTATCTAATTGTCTTACCTGCTTCAAGAGTTCGGCTTCAGGCTCTGAGGAGGATGCGATGCTCGAAGAGTTGGATGAGTGTAAGTAACATGTCGCTTCGTCTTCTTTCTCAACCTTGGACTCATGTTGAAAAGTGTATGCCGAATGCGAAGCCGCTTCCTCGACCGATGCAGCGACAACGGGCGGAATTAAAGAAAGTGCTGCTCTAGCGGGGATGATGATAGCTACTTCGTGGATACTGACGTTTTTGCTCTAATTCTTCACCAGACATGGTCTTTGGTGTTCGCTCGTTCTTACATTCATTTGATATTTATAGTGTGATCAGTTGTATATGTCATCGCAGTACTAGGGACATACTCCATCTAGGGAAATCCTTTGCCACAAGTGTTACGGCACTATAGCCAAGTGGTTAAGGCGATAGATTCGAACTTATGTTATGCATCTATTACTCTTTGAGTGCGCAGGTTCAAATCCTGCTGGTGTCGTAATGGCATGTTGTTACATACTTTTTCTTTAGCATAACTTGTAAGAATTGTAACGTTCAACTTTTGGTCGCATTATCTATTCCACTTTACATGACGTTGCCATTGACATCCACCTATATGTCAATTCTCGGCGGTGCTTCCTGCTTGATGTACTGAGTCAAGAAAATACCTATCAGCACCGAGAGAAATGTAACAGATACATTGGTAACATTCAGATATATTACCAGCTAGGTTAAAAATGCCTCAAGTAAGAACATAACGCTACTGAATCACGCTACGCGTTCCGACTCAGCCACTCGGTCCATTGTGGTCCGATCTGGCACATTAGCTCCGTGATAATCCCTTCCCACTTGTTCTTCCTCTGTGCCCACCATGACGAAGGACAGTTCGGATCTGTGTTCTTCTGCTCCATACTTTGCATGATGACGCAGTATTGCGCCACAAGCAACAGGGCCCTCGGGCGCCGCTCGAATACGAACGTCAAAAACCTGTCTGAGACGCCCGCGAACCACGCAAGGAGCGCGTATCCCTGGTACTGAGGGATAAACGATGCTTTCCAAGCGAGCTGCAGCAACGTAAGAGCCCACTGATAGTCCGCCGCCACTTCCTCGTCAGCGACCTCTTCCGGATCTGGGGCGCCCGGAGTGGGGAACGGGAGGGTAAACAGGAATTGAGGAAAGATGTCTCCAGACTTGGGGCTTGGCAGCGCCGACAGCAGTGCTGAGGGGGACGGTGGAAACCTGCTGGCCAACGTGCCGGTCACGCCCTGCGGAAGGGCCGGCCATTGCTGGCATGTTTTAGTCAAGACTCGAAGGATACGTAACCAGTTCCGGAACCGCGAGTTGGAGGAGGTCAATGAAGGGGGTGATATGGCAAAGCCGTATATGACGACTATCGAGAGGGTGAACACGAAAGGGATGAGATTAGCGCTATCAAAAGAGGGAATGGTGAGCCCCGCCAGGGCCGCGTTGCAGTGTACAGTAGCCGCATGGGAGTAGCGTCCGGCCGTCGGGCTGGTGGGGTCGGCAGAATAGAGGTGAAGAGCGGAGACCGCCAGGATGGCATGAAGAAGATGAGAACCGTTGGCGTTAAAGGATAATCTCGGCACCGCAGTGTTCCATACGCTGTCCAGAGTGGTTTCATTGACGAAAGTGAGAGTGTAGCACGCCGTGCTGGTATAGTGGTGCATCAGCTCCAACGTCCGCGCGCTAAGAACAAAGGAAGCATCAGGATGCTGAAAAGTAGAGAGGATCGAGATCTCTTTAGGCCGTCGACGCGACAAGGCAGTTGAAAGAGAGGTAGAGGAGACCCGTCTGCCCTCAGGTGACGAGTGCACAAATTTGAAGGTTTTCGCGGGCCAAACGCAATCCACCCGTCTCTTTATGCAATTTCTGCACAAGGGGTATTCTTCGTCACACTATAAATCATTAAGAGCATGGATTAGCAACAGCAAGCAGGTGCTAACCTTGACTTTTCGACGCTTGCATGTAGCACAACCTGTTCGTGACTTGGGATGAGGGCGTATGACTCTACCAGTCATTTTCGAGGTCAATTAGTGTGACCTTGGATGAAAGCGTCTCTATCGCACGACAACAAACTTGGGTGATGGTCGAAGACGAGAAACAGAAATCAAATCATCCGATCATTTCGACCACATCACGGACGCCGAGCCTGGGCACGATGCAAAGAGGCGAACTTACAACTGCTGGAAAGAATGGCAACTTGTAATACCGTAAAATTTCTGGATTCCAGAATGTCTGAAATGCAAAGAACCTTCGAATCGTGGCTCTATCAGTCGCTTCGCGGACTTACATGTTAGGGCGAGTAGACCCTTCCAAGAGCTCCTCCGAGTGAAAAAGAATATTACACCTGACAACGAGCCATCATGCATCACTGGCGACAGATCCCATAAGGATACACTATCCAATACCTTGGTACACAAGTACCGGCACAAGGCAATAATTAGAATTAATATCGGTCCAGGCATCGCTGATGAGCAAAAGCCGATTGCCGTTCCACATGAACCTTCAGAGTTTTGATACCATGTGAACAGCGGAGAACGCAACGTTGTTGGAAAAGATCGCCTATTAACCGAAGGGAAAGCGACTCGTAGGAGATGATGGACAGAAGAAAGAAAAGCGTGACGTGACACGCTTCGGAAAAAGTCGTTATTTTCCATGGTTACATCTTAAGAGTGCGGGCGGAAATGATGGAATGTAGATTAGCGCTGCCATTACATCTAACGCGTCTACAATCACAGCTCCTCGTCTTCACTTTCTCCTTGGCGATTGCCTCATGTAATGAAAGGCATACTCTGGGTTTGCTGGGTCAAATTGCCAAGATACAGATACCTCACTGGGAAAACACATCTGCAAAGATAGCTTTCTGCTAGTTCCCAAAGGGAGAAGCTTAGGAATGGCGATGTTTCCAGGTTGTTATCAAAGCCCTGTCCGTTTATGTCAGAGAGATTTCGAGCACGAATGGATCAGACCAACTCGCGATAGGACTCCGGTGGCGTTCGGCAGTCGTTGAGCATGAGGGGAACGTAAGGGCTTGATTCCTTTTACTCACCCATTCATAATGGCAGTCGCGAGCTTCTTGTCCACATTATCCTGGGAGCATACTTTCAAGGGAATCGATCTTGGTCCAGATTGTATTTGGGCGATGCGCTCATGTTCGGTACCGTAGGAAAACAAAGCGTACCATAGTCCCCCATCAGACGACAATTCTTTCCGGTGCGCTCTAAAAAGTTGTCAGGGCACCGCACAATGCAACGACGACTGCAGAACGTGAAACGAGGATGAAGGTCATCCCCGCGTCGATACAAAACCTTGACACCGAGTGTCCTTGATAAGAGACCGTGTTGGACGCTGTAAGCTGAATAATTCATGCGTGATAATACTGACGCGTCTACACGAGGTAGAACTTTGCGTGCTAAGAAACGAAGGTCAAGGGCACCAGACACTCGGAGCAGATAGATTCACGACAGCGACAAACAACGATAATAGAACAGTCGCCTGGCGGCCATTCACGCAGAATTTTGATTCCTCCCCAACAGTGGCGTACTCTCATTTGGAGGAGAGGATATCGAAGAATTCCGTTCGCGCTCGACAATCCTAACAATCGTTCAGTATGAACCAAAAAGTGAACGTCCCGCTCACCCCTTCATAATAGCACTATTCGTCAGACGCTCAGCCCGCCGTTTGCTAACGTTATCCTCGTAGCGATCCGTCTCGTCGACAATCTCTTCGGTAATCATTTCCTCTATGATATCTATAATGGTTGGTAAATGAGCCCTCATCGAATTTAATGAACAGAAGCTCACCTTCAAGGGTAACAACCCCAATCGCGCCACCCGCTACTCCCGGAGTACGGGATATGAGGAGGAGATGGGCTCGCCCAGTCTGGCTGGAGGACGTTGAGATTGGAAGATGATTGAGATGAATACTACAGTAAAAGGAAATGGAACCCTCACAAATAATCCAAAGCCTGGAAGCAGTTGATCGAAGGATGAGCCTCAGGAAGGACAGATAGCACAAAACTTGACACCGGGAGGGCTTGAGAAGCGTCGTAGTTTATTAGCTATGGACGACGGGGATGAAGAAGATGTGAGACAATCAGGACAAATAGGCATACCGACCTTCTTGACTAACAACAACCCGACAAAAGCCAGCGGGTTGTCTGGGTGGTGCACCGGAAAGCGGGAGTATCCGCTCATTATACTGTGGAATTTCAGTAGTGAGGACGGTTCAAGAAATAACCCACGAACATCTTGTCGACTGTGCCATGGTCTAGTATTGTGTCCTTGCTGAGCGTAACGGCATCCTATAATGCAATTAGAGATCTTTCCGTATGTTAAAAGTCATCTGCGTGCCTCCATTCTCGTCATTATTTCTTCGACGTTTTTTGAATTGAGTTCCAGCACGCCGCTCAGGATCGATATTTCATCATCTCTAAGAGGCTCTTCTCCAGTGCGATGGAACTCTAGGAAAGATTTTAGCTCTGCTTTTCTGTAGGTGTGAGACTCGTTGGCGCCGAGCACGTAGTCCAGGAGTTTGGCTATAGGATAAGCGACTGGAGCTAGGACGAAAGGAATCAATTTAAAGCCCACAAAATAGACCGGATATTCCAACCGAAGATATACATCAATGCTAGGACGAATGGCGTGCATGCGGCGCCGATGGAGAGGCCATACCTTACACTCAGTGATTGTGGAATAATTCTGTAGATGACGCGTCATGAGGAAAGATACAGTCGAAAGGGTTCTGCTCTAGACGTACTCTCTACATATAAATCAGATAATGTGAACTTTGACGCGAGCAAAGGACGCACCCGAAGATGACTAGAAACTACCGTTAGCCTGGCAACGGGAGCACTAGCCATTAGAACTCACCGATAGCAGCTGTCGAAATTGCAACTGCAGCTATCCCTCCTCCAATCTTCCGGAAGGATGAGCCAAGATAACGCTATAACCTGCCAAAGACGTACCGCGCCGTCAAGGAAAATGGGAAGACTCTCGTTGATGATCTGTAGTGTTTTATTGGCCTCTACAGCACGGAAATTTGGAAAAGACGTACAACGTTAGCAAGTAGAAGAACCTAAAGACATAACATTTAAGGAGAAATGTCAAAGAGAAAAAGGGGTTGTACGAACGACCAATACCCAATGTCTTCCCTTCTGCATGAGTGCCAACACTTTCTTCGCATTCTTCTTCTCAACAGGGTCATCCGACGAAGCTGACAACACGCGTAGATGCAGTTCGTCGAGGCCCATGAGACCAAGGGTAAGACTGTCGCGAACTGTGAGAATGATACGAGCGATATCGAAGAAAACAGCACTCTCACCCGGCAAAGACGCCACCTAGCAAGACGAGGATAGCGCTAATAATGATTTTGTACCAAAACTCCGGTGAACCTCGCTCTACTGTAGGAGGTCCATTCATGTGCAATTCTGCATCGTTGAACGAAGGAAGAGCGCGAGCCAGTCTGGTAAGAAGAAAAATAAGGAAAGACCGCCTTTCCATAAGTTATTCAACGAGGTGGTAGTGAGAATGTCGTGGTGGTCGTGGTCGTTGTTAAAGAAGATTGGTCGCGCCCGAACAGGCAGTCATGTTGGACTCAGTCTTCGGTCCGAAGTCCGAGGACCGGGACCTCCGGGAGGAGCTTTTCGTTCCTTTTACCCATGTGTTTCACCAGCTCTTCCAGTCGTCTTTCATCCTCGGAGATCCCCGGAATTTCCTTGGGTACTCCAGAAGCTCATGGGGCGAGAAATGAACACTGCGGAATGTTGCCGTTCCACATTATATACCTAGGCGTATCGTTGCCGCCGTGGCCGCTTTCTGATTCTAGAGTGGACCGAGGAGCCAGCGAGGATCGATGAAATGGTAAGTAGTAAAGAAGGGTTGCTACCACTTTCGGACTCGCAGCACTCAGTATCTGATCACAGATGCCTCTTTCACCTGCACCACCACCATGGTACATGTTCCACTTGCTCTCGATGCTATCAGATGTTCAGGACAGCCATAAACTCAAAAGATTGATTCATGCTCAAAGCTCTGTTCCATAATGATTGAGAAAATTTGGGTGCAGCAGTATGGCTCCTTTGTTAGCTTGGAAAGGGTGCTTCTACTGATGATGTATGCATTCTAGATGGACTTGTAATATGCTTGACCTAGAAGAGCATGTGAATGTCATCTCTAGTGCCATCTCAGCATTTTGTATTATACTGAACCAAGGACCACTCCCCCAAATATCTTCTAGTGGTATGTATGTTTGTATTACATCCATATATTCATACTACTGATACCTAAGGTACTACAGCTCTCGCAATGCTAGTACAAACACCAGGAAGGACGAGTTCCGTCATCGGAGTGTTTCTGGCATTCCTGTCGGATCTCTGTTGTCTCGATTCTCTACTCGGAGACATCGGGAGGATATATGATGTGTAAATTCTGATAACAGGAAATTACCTATCCTCATAGTAGACAATCGCGTTTTTGACTTCCCTTTCATGACGACTAGTTCAAAGAATGATACAGTGTCGTACTTTCATGTACCTTTGTCAAGAATACAGGACACTGCACAATGCAACGGTGACTTCAGAATGCGAAACGGGGATGAAGGTCACCCCCACATCAATACGAAACCTTGACACTGAGTGTGCTTGATAAGAGACTGCATTGGATGCTGTAAGCCGAGGAATCCATGCATGACGATACTGACACCTCTATGCGAGGTCAAACTCTGCGTGCTAAGAAACAAAGGCCAAGGGCACCAGATACTCAGGACAGATAGATTCACGGCAGCGACAAACAACGATAATAGAACAGTCGCCGCCTGGCAGTGATTCACCTAGAACTTTGATCCCTCCCCAACAACAGCGTACTCTCATTTGGAGAAGAGGATAATATTTCCATGCCAGAATGTACAGTCACTCAAGAAGCTTCGGAAAGAGGACACACATGTGGAAAGATCCTACCCGTGCCACAGCCTGCAGAATTATCACCAATGCGAATGTCCACCACCACTCGAGCATGGACGTAGGAAGAGGTACATACGAGTACACTGTGAGATGAAAATTTGAAAGATGGGAAATAACTGTTTCAGGACTGATTGATACAATTAAGATAAGTTGGTACTTTGAGTCTCCTTAAATGAAAAATAACGGTGCTAAACGTACTTCCTCCTCACTTCCATGGGAGATCACCGCATTCTATTCCTGTCACCTTGCTAATTTTCGTGATGACCAAAGCGAAGCGGCCGTTGACCTTTGGATCGTAGATGGGATTACCGGCCTCATCCATAGGTATCATCCCTCGAGGTACAACCAGGCTCTCGCTCATAGCCTTCATCACTGGTATCATATATTTCTTGTGTATCACCTCCTTCACTCCATCATATGTCTTTCTCCAGGCAGGGTCATTTTGTCTCTTTGTACGCCAGCGAAGTGGGTCGATACCATACCTAGATAAGTGAAAAGATCAAAACAGACATCGCTTAAAGTGGGAAGACTTACTCGGCTTCAAATTGTCGTCCAATGTCGCCAACAGGTATCCCAGCCTTTTTCCCTGCAGCTTCGTAATATTCAAACATAGTCTGCACTCCCCCATTTTCGTTCAAAGCTTTCTGCTGATCCACGGATAAAGGCATTCGTTTGCCTTTCAGAAATTCTAAAAGCTGTACTTGAAAGGTCTAATGTACCCTATTCAGCAAAGGAGTCCACTTATGAGAATGTAAACGCGTACCGAAAGGATTATCGCAATGGAAGAGTTTGGAATGACGGCGTAGTCGTACTCCCCACGGCCATAAAGAATGAAAAATCCAGGGCTCTCTTTATGGAACTGAAGCTGAGCAGAGAGGGGATTTGTTGGGAGAACTGGGGGTGGAAGGTCGCTTAATTCTTCCGCTTCATAGGTGGCATTGGGTCCCTCTGACAAGTCCTGAGTCAGAGGAGCAGAGATGGCATTACCATAGTCGGTTAACAGAGAAACTACGTCGGTAGATTCTAAGGAGTCTTGATGAGTAGCAGTGGCATGGTCATTCACCTCAGCCAAGAGTCGTTTGAGGCGTGCATCAGAAAGAGCCCAGTTGTTCTTGCTACGCATGGCGTTCAGCAATTTCTGGCGGCCAAGAGGAGTAGCGAAGGTCTTGATCTCGGAGAGTACTTGCTCGTCGGTAGGCACAATAGGCGACGCCATGAGAAAGGATGGTAAAGATGAAAGAAGCGTGACATTGGAAATGTGGTGTTATGAAAGTCACATGGGCATGATCAGACGCCGCGTCAATCGAAGTGGGTCACTAGAACAGAGCAAATAGAGCCCTGGAATTACACTATTGTACACGGGGAACATGATACAAAATCAATACAAGAACAGACAAGAAACACCCAGGATCTCAGATCCCTTGCTCTGTATAGAGCTTCTCCAGTGCGGCAGACTGAATCTTCCACACGGGTTTACACAGCTCCGCTACCCTCGAAAAATACCCTTCAACCTGCTTGTCGGATATGATAAATTCCAAATTCTCCGGGATCAGAGATCTTCCTATACCGCCGTTCCCTGACCTCAGCTTATGGATCTGCACCATACCCATATATGGGTATGACTGTCGACTATACGGACTGTATGTGGATATGGATATCCCATACCTGCAACTCATCAAAAGTGACTGCAGAATCATCATCATCATCATATCAAGATGTGAAGTCCACATTGAGCAGTTTCGAACGCAAGACGCTTTGTCAATATGGGGATGTCATTTTCGCTTGATGAAAAAGATAGAGAAGGTGAGTAAGTAAACTTGAAGTAGTTGGTGTCGGAATATAGATACAGATATGCACGTTGAATCAATACAAAAGAACCGATTAGACGAACAGGACCGCGATTTGAATGGCAAGAATTTTTATCAGCAACGAAGTATCGACTGTCCGTGGTTAGCCACAGACGTTACTTCTATTTGAAACCTCTCACCTAATAGAATAGTATTCAAAGTTTTCCTTTTACCATCACGCCCACCCGCCGTTCATAATCGTCTACCAAAACGCGCCGTAACGTCTTTCCAGTGGACGACTTTGGCAACTAAACACAAAATGAGGATTATCCTCGCCTCGCCCATGAGACATGGTCGCTCTCACCTCTCCAACAACTTCGATACCTCCATGTAGCCATTTTGACTTTACCAAATGTCTTTCGGTCCACCGTCTGAGGGCGTCAACCACGGCCGGATCCCCCGC